TAATGACCATACCGAGTCCTGAAAGTAGTCTTTGGGATATCTGGCTCCCGAAGCTTCAACTGATGATAGCCTGAACGCAAGTCGATCTTAGAGAACACTCTGGCACCCTCAAGTTGATCAAATAGGTCATCAATACGTGGCAATAGATACCTGTTCTTAACTGCAACCTTGTTCAACTAGCGATAATCAATACATATTCGTATAGAACCATCCTTCTTATTTACAAACAAGACAGGAGCACCTCAAGGTGACACATTGGGCCAAATGAAGCCTTTATCGAACAACTCTTGCAACTGTTCCTTTAATTCTTTCAATTCTGCCGGGGCCATACAATAAGGTAGAATAGAAATAGGCTGAGTGCACGGTAACAAATCAATGCCAAAGTCGATATCTCTGTCGGGCGGCATGCCCAGAAGATCTGCCGGGAATACATCTGGAAAATCCCCCACTACTAGAACTGACTCAACGGTAGGAGTATCAAAACTGTCATCCCTCACATAAGCTAGATATGCATCACACCCTTTCTCAACCATTCGCTGAGCCTTAAGAAATGAGACAACCCTGCTAGCAACATGATCTAAGGTACCTCTCCCCTCTAGCCGCGGTAAACCTGGCATAGATAATATCACCGTCTTGGCGTGACAATCAAGGATAGCATGATAGGGCGACAACCAGTCCATGATCAAAATAACATCGAAATCCACCATACTGAGCAATAATAAATCGGCTTTGGTCTCAAAACCACTAAGAACAATCAAACACGACCAATACACATGGTCAACAACAATAGAATCACCCACGGGTGTAGACACATAGACAAGTGAACTTAGAGAATCACGGGATACACCCAAATATGGAGCAAAATAAGATGACACATAGGAATAAGTGGAGCCTGGATCCAATAAGACTGATGCATCTCTATGACAGACCGGAACAATACCTGTGATGACAGAATCGGATGCAACTGCATCCACCCTAGTAGGAAGAGCATATTATCTGGCCTGGCCTCTCCCTCTAGGGCGACCTCGACCTGCTCGACTTTCACCTCGATCTAGTGGTGCAGGTGGAGTGGTAGCTGGTGCTGTAATCATAGCATGAGGACCCGGTGGAGCACTCGGTGCCTGAGAAATCTGTGGAGGTGTACCCCTCTTAAGTGTGGGGCAATCCCTCACTATATGGCAAGTGTCACCACACTCAAAATAAGCTCTCGGAGGATGTGGTTGTTGTGGCTGGCTCGGGCCTGATCGGCTAGATTGACCACTGAAAGCACCTCGTACAGGAGGTGCACTAGACACCGGCAGTGCATAATAGTGATCCTGGGGCCTAGGAGTGGCCGGAGCACCGCTGGCGGCTGGAAGTGCTGAGTGAACAGGGCGACTCATATCCATATAACCCCTGCCCTGACGAGCTGTAGCTGGGGCACGAGTACTACTATAAGTGCCAGACTCTTGAGACCTCTTGGCTTCTCTCTCTTCTCTCTCCCGAGTCAGCATACCCTCCAACCTCCTAGCAATCCCCACTACCTGTTGGTACGCAATATCTATCTTCAACTCTCGGGCCATGCTAAATCTGATACTGGGGTTGAGCCCCTCAATAAATCGACGAACCCTTTCCCGAACAGTATGCTCGCTACCACTAATATGCCTCTCCTATAAGATGAAACATAGTGAAGGAAACCCCACTAGACTCTGCAACACCTATAGTACGGAGGATACAGTGGCACTCCTCAAGAAAACTCTGGGCATCCTCTGACGCCAAACCACTGAAAGTAGGAGGATGGTACTTCTTGTACCTATCGAGCCTGAGCTGCTCCCCTTCAAAAAATGCTGCCCCAACCTCGAGCTGAACTAGAGCTACCGGCTGCATCAGTATGATCTCTGGAACCTGGTCGACCTGAACCCACTGATCTGGGGTACAGGCGGTAGGAGTCCTCCCCTGGCCTGAGATGTGGCAGGAGCAAGTGGTATCAATCCTGCCTGAGCCAAGGTGCTGAACATGCTCAGAAACTATGCTAGAGTCTCCTGGAGGGCTGGTGCAGTAACAAGTGTCTCAGGTGCCTGTCCTCCAACTGGAGCTACTGGTGGCTCATCTATAGCAGTTCATGCGGGTGCTCTGGTTGCACCACGTGGACTTCCTCAGCCTCTACCCCTGCCCTGACCCCGGCCTCTCATGGCTCTAGTAGGGGGCGCGGGTGTCTAGTCATCTAATCCAGTTGTACGTATCCTCACCATCTGTGAGAGAATAGAAAGATAGAAGTTAAGAATCCCGAAGTCAACAAGTTTCGCACGACAAGGAATCAAAGAAGTGAAATTTTCCTAACAGTTTCATAGCCTCCCAAAGATAAGTACAAACGTCTCCGTACCGATCCGCGAGACTCTGCTAAACCTGCTTGTGACTCATAACACCTATGAACATAGAGCTCTAATACGAACTTGTCACGACCCAAATTTCTCTCCGTAGGATGTCGGGACGGCACATAGTCTCTATGACTAGGTAATCCTAACAATTTTGAGGAATAACGGAATATAAAACTCAACTCAAACCTCAACATATGAAATATATAAAAACTGCGGTTCAAACTAAGTGTCTCTATACATTAGAGTCTAAGGAAAATAAGGAAAACAACATAATAAGGATAGAGGGGGACTCTGAGGTTTACGGACGCTGGCAGATGTACCTTGAAGTTTTCACGTACAGGCTATCTTACTAGTATCTGGCCTGGTAGGAAAAACCTGGATCTGCACAAAAAGATGTGCAGAAGAGTAGCATGAGTACACCACAACAGTACACAGTAAGCGCCAAGCCTAACCTCGGTAGAGTAGTGACGAGGTCAGGTTAGGCCCCTACTGGAGTAAAAGGAAATAAGGCAGAAAATATAATAATATAGTGAAATGACTGAGAATTTAACAATGAGAAATTACAGAAAGATAACAACACAGCAAATAGAGGTAAACAACCGGGGCGCTCTCGAGGTACTGCCTCGTAGTCCCAAACATAAATAAACAACAAGGGAGCTCCCCAGGAACCGCCTTGTAGTCCCAAAAGTAAATATGCAACGAGGAGTTCCTGAGGTACCGCCTCGTATTCCCAAAAGTAAATATGCAACGGGGATCTCCCGAGCTACCGCCTCGTAGTCCTAAAAGTAACTACACAACTCGTAACTTATGGAACAATGAATTTTGCAGCAAGGAATCCTACAGTTAAAGACTGAATACAAAGTCAAGGAAGTAGGTAATTCAACTAAGCATGTTGCACAAATTGCAAGTAAGAGTTAAGACACGTAGGCATGTGATACTAGGCTAAACATGATAACTACACATGCTAAGGCAACTCAGTTAAGGAATTAAAAGAAGACTACTCAGCAAGAGCCATAATCTTCACATTTAGCCCGTGTACGCACTCGTCACCTCGCGTACACGATACTCACATATCACAAATTGTTACAACAGTACCAAATCCTAAGGGGATTTGCCCCACACAAGGTTAGACAAGTCACTTACCTCAAATCTCGCTCAATCAATCGATAAGAATGCCTTTCCCTCGACTTTCCGACTCTGAACGTCCCAAATCTAGCCAAAAGTAATTACATACTATAAATACAACTACAAGATATTAATTTAAATAATGAAACTACGACTTTAGCAAGGAATTGAAAAATCGCCCCAAAAAGTCGACCCAGGCCCATGTCTCGGAATCGGGTAAAAGTCAAAAATTACGAACACCCATTCGATATCGAGTTCACCCATACCAAAATTACTCAAATTCGATACAAAGTTCTCAATCAAAACCTCAAAATTAAGGATCTTTTCACCTTTTTCACAAATTTCTCAACCCAAATCCTTAATTAAATGAAGAATAAATGATTTCTGAGTGGAAATAAATCAAAAATAAGTCAAGAATCCTTACCCAAATGTTTCCTATGAAAAACCCTCAAAATTTCTCCTCAATCCGAGCTCTCTTGATTCAAAAATGGAGAATGAAATCAAACCCTCGGACTTGGCCCTTTTCTGCCTAGCGATTTTGCTTTTGTGGTCAAAAATTTGCTTTTGTAGTGAAATCTTCGCATATGTGGAGTTCAGTTGAACTCCCAGACTCCGCACCTGCGCACAATCATCCTCATATGCGGCCCCTCGTCCGCTTCTGTGGAAGGTCACTGCCGCTGGCCAACCGCTTATGCGGTCCAAAGCCCACTTCTGCGGACAAGCCTCCCAAGCACTTGTCCGCTTCTGCGATCAATCTTTCGCAGAAGCGACTCTGCTTCTGCGGCCTTCACGCTGCACCTGTGACCATTGGCCATCCTCATCATCACCGCATCTGCGATCGCCCGCTCGCTTTTGTGAGCTCGCACCTGCGGTCAATCTTGCGCAGGTGCGGTTGCACCAGACCTGGTGCCTTTAGCCATTCTCACAAGTTCAAATTGATCCGTTAACCATCCGGAATCCACCCGAGGCTCCCGGGACCTCGACCAATTATACCAACTAGTCCTAAAATATCATACGAACTTAATCGAGCCTTTAAATCACATCAAACAATGCTAAAAACATGAATTGCACATCGATTCAAGCCTAATGAACTTTAAAACTTTAAATTTCTACATCCGATGTCGAAACCTATCAAATCAAGTTTGATTGACCTAATATTTTACACACAAGTCATAATTGGAATTACGGACCTACTCCAACTTCCGGAATCAGAATCTAACCCCGATATCAAAAAGTCCACCCCCGATCAAATTTTTCAAAAATCATCCAATTTTCCAACTTTCGCCAATTGACGCTAAAATGACTTACAGACCTCCAATTCAACATCCGAACACGCTCCTATGACCAAAATCACCCTACGTAGCTATTGGAACCATCAAAACTCCATTCCAGAGTCATCTTCACTCAATTCAAATTACGATCAATTCTTATGACTTAAACTTCTATTTTAGGGACTATGTGTCCCATTTCACTTCGAAACTAAAAACAAATCCTCCCGGTTAGTCACGTAACCACAAAATGAAATAGAGGGAGCAATAAATAGGGGTTCAGGGCTAATTCTCTTAAAATGACCAGCCGGGTCGTTACAATGAGTTGGCTCTAGAAGAAGTACTAGGATAAACAGTTGAACACCTCATAGCTTTAGACTGTTTGAGGAATATTGATTCCTGTAATTTTGCCAAATAATAAGCTCAGGGAAGTGAAAAGGGTCTGTGGATTCGAACTGCATCTCCTAACTCTGGCTTCAGCCCATTCAAAAAGATGTTTATAACATGGTTGGGATCCAAGTTAAGTCGAGTCATGGCTCTGTCAAACACCTCCCGGAACTCAACCACACCTCCAGTTTGCCTAAATTAACCAGTTCAGTCATGGGATCATCATATTCTGCCCCAAATTGATCAGTCAGTGCGAAAAGGTACTCATTTCATGTAGGATATGGGAGATGGGCCCTGCTCCTCATGTATGCTTGCTGCCATTGAAGAGCAATGTCGTTCAAATGTATAGCAGCAATAATGACTTTTTGTCTAGAAGGGACCTCATCTAATGAGAAAAATTGTTCATATCTATACCACTATTCCTGAAATCCCTTTCCATTGAACCTGGATAACTCTATCTTTGACAACCTGGTGAGTGTTTGGTGATTTGGGAGTAGTGGAAGGGTGTTGTACTGGTTTGGGTTATGGTAATGTAGGGTTGGATTTGGGTAATTTTAGTCTGGGTTATATGGGAAAGAAGAGAAGTTATAGTGAGCTGAGTTTGGTGAGTATGAGGCATAGAGATTCTAAAAAGGATACGTATATGGAGGTAATTGATGGGTAAAGTTAGGACTATACATCAGAGCTGATACAGGGTTACCAACCATCTGAGAATTAGGAATTTGAGCAAAACTGGGTTTGGGGGTATAAAGATTTGGTAAGCGAGGGGATTGAAGTGGTAATGTAACGAAATTAGCTGGGAGTTGGGAACTGGGAAATTGAGAATTTGGAATTGGTAATGAAACTGGGGTTAAATACGATTTCAAAATTGGGATAGCCTGGTGACATTTGGTTTGAACAGAGCTACTAAGAGCTACAAATTGACGAGGAGAGGAAGCATTTTGGATACCTGATAGATCCCCTGGTCCAATAGTTGGAGAATACAGTTCCTTCGACGATGATGCCAGTAAGGCTTGCTGCTTATCCTTCTCTATGCTTCGAACAATCCCAATCGTGTCCTTCAACTCGCGAAAGGCGCTTTCATGCACCGATTCGAGCTGGTCTTGTCGCACAACCATTCGATCGAGCGGCGTCAAAACTTCATCCATCTCACCATCCATGGCAGCACACCCACAGAGCAGGTAATTGCTCTGATACCACTGATATCTTAAGAGGGAATTAACAGAGAAAATAAAAGAGAGAAAGGAAAATAACAGAGTGCATTCACTTCACAATAGGTGCTCCTTGAGCTGTGCTGCAAGCTATATGGTGGGATTGGCATTCCACAGCTCAGTCCACGTGATAGTGGCTGAGCTAACATAACTAACTCTTAGGCAAAACGGGAAATAAAAGGAAATAAAGTGCCAAATGTGTAAATATAATAACCTATACTAGTATTATTATATGGGCTAAGCAACTGTGAATAATAAAAGGGGTCCACTTCCCATTCCACTTCTAATGATAAAGTAAATGCAAACACACGAATTGAACAGTCTTAGCCTTGGAAGGTTAATTACCCTCGAGCAAGGTACGCTTCGATCAGTGTCAGGATTCAGAAGAACAAGAACTTAAAGAGAAATAATAATAACGTATTGCTTTGGGATGCGTGTTACAATGTTCTCAATGAATTATCAGACCCCCTTTATATATTAGATGAGTCCTACTTTAGGTACAATTCTATAAAAGGTGAAAATCCCTTGATTTGCTGATTGACGGTTCCTTACTGATACGCGCCGAGATTCCCGCCTCAACATCTGCCCGGTTACGAATATTTCGGTCTTCCGTTAGTTATGCTAACAATGCTTCTCCGAGCTCATTCGGGGCTAGGGTCGACTCCGGGGTTTCAGACTCAATGTTCTCGAAGGCAGGTGTTCTGACCCCGGGTTCTAGCCCGATATGACTTGGGGCCGATCTTCAGTCTCGTATTGTCATGTTCCGAGCCTGTCCTTTCATGTCGTAGGCGAACTCGATCTCGACAGTATACAATTTCCTTAATTATAATCCTATTTTACCTTGTACACAATTATAACTACGAAGGAATTTGTACTTTTCTTACAAATGTAGATTGATCTTGTATAATTTTTGAAGCATGGAGTTCGTCTAGAGATAAACAATGAGATAGAAGCTAAAATAACCTCTAGATCTATTAGTTACAAATACAGAATCCAGTTTTCGAGTGTAGCCCAGGTATACACAAGTTCAGTTTGAAAAAAACTATACTTCATATTTCCTGTTCCTTATGTGATTCTGCTGCCCCCTGCTGTATTTCCGTTTAAAAACTGATATGCCTTCTTATTACAGGTTTTTGTCCAGGAATGTGCAAAGAAGGAAAAAGAGGCATGTTGATTTGCTGAATATTCTATGGTAAGGATAATTTTTATTGTTTATATAGCGTTACATCATAGCCTATCATTTATCCTCCACGTGTGCTACTTGCACATCCTTAGATAGTGAAAAGTTTTTCTCTTTCTTCCTTTATTTTGGTAGTTTCCCTATGTGACCCTCAATCATGGGTCTATTGTTAGCAATGTGATCGTGGCTACAAAATGAGAAGGGGGGGAAATGGGTATGTGAGCTATTTCTGGTGAATTGTTGAAGAAGCGGATTCTCTGTAATAAAGATGAGTGGTTAATCATAGAAATGTGCAAGTGATCTATTACAGTTAGCTAACTTACGCCGACAATTTCAAGCTTTTTAAGTTTTGGTGATAAAAGATTTGTAATTTCTTCACCTTAAGAAAATTTCTACTTAGAAGTTGGTTTACTGATACTCCCAAGGTAACATTGGCAAATTTGCTAATGGGTCTCAGCCTTCATCAATCTTTGAATACTAAACAGAATGTCCAGCCTAATTTGCTAATGTGTCTCACTCTTAGGAAGTTAAACAACTAGCAAAACCATTATAATCGTGGTTCACCTATATGGTCTGCGAATCTGCTATGTTATAAAAGTATATGGTATGATAGACTAAGCTGTGAGAATTGCTTTACAGGAAGACCATGAAACTGTGCCAATGGAAGAAATATCATTCTAAATTCTGTGTGTTGAAGTTCGAGGAAGAATGTAACCTGGTTAACCATTTTCAGTTTTATACACATTGAAATGATCTACCAATGAAAGAAATATCATTCTAAATTCTGTCTGGTGCAGTTCTAAATTCGGTCTACAACCACTTCTATCAGTTCATTATTTTCTAAACTTTCTTTGTTCTTTTCAGAATGGGAACATTAGAATGCTTGAGATGCTTCTAAATTCTTAACGAGGAAACTAAAAATATAACAGTAGAAATAGTTAGATATAAAACAATGAAAGACCCATCGATTGTGATGTTTGTTCTAACCAGTAAATGGTTACACATGGTAAAGTTCATACAGAAAATGAAGAGATTGTTTGAATCATTTAAACAATAGAGAGAAATGACTTTCTTGCATGTTAACAAGATAGAAGTTATATTCGACTGGAAACTAAAATAGCAACAATATTGCTCACCTGCTCATATAAAAACTCTATCTGTTGGGCCTGTTGCAAAACATGAGTAGACATAGATGATTAAAGCAGATATTTCCACCATCTTTTTGTTTCTGTTTCTTAGAACAGAATTCAGGAGACTGTTCAGCTCTACTTTCCGGAGGATTGCATATACATGTTCGTAACACACAGCGGAAGACAATAACAATCCTAGGCAGATCTTTTCGTATTTAAAATTTATTTACATGTCAAAGATCGGATCTAAGACGTACCTGGTGAAGAGAGTCTCGTTTCAAAAATTTCTTCGATAGTGCGAAGACTCTATGCGTATCCATACCGAGACTGATGTTTGCTATCAACTCTTCGATTAATGAAACCCGCGAATAAATTGAATGAAATATCGTGTTGAAATTTTTCTCAAAAATCTCAACTTCAAAAATAGAAGAACAAGAAAACACTTTTTTTGTAATTGTATTTTCTCTCTTGGCTTTGAACTGTACTCTCACTTTCACAAAGTGATTTTTTTCTCAAAACAATATTATGACAAATTTTTTCCATCACCATTTATATAGCATCACCTATAAACCCTTTTCCTATTTGGTTGAGGTAACGAGTTATTGAGGGTAAAAGTTTAATTCCAAAAATAAACTTTATCGAATTTTTCAAACAAAATCAAAATCTCATTCTTAATGGATTTGGTGCCCAACGTCATTCCTAAGGACTTAGACGTGAAGGTTCTGTTAATGTCCAATTCCAAATTGGACTTTAAGTACTACTCCAACTAATATTTTTATATTAAAACTACTAATCCCATTCTTATGGGGTTGAAGTAACCGGCGATTTTCTCATCAATCCAATTCTTAACTGGATTGATCAACTTAATCTTCATTAATATTTATATACATATTTTATATGTAAATATTAATTATATGTATCACACATATATTTCAACCAAGAGATAATTTAATTTTCTATTCCAAATTGAAAACTTCAATTTGTTCACAATATTAATTATAACCTCTGTGCTAGCAAAGAATATAATAATATTTTATTTGGACTAATAACTAAGTTTATTTGACTAATTAAATTCTTTAATTTAATTATCAAATAATAAAGTAATTAATCCTTTAACAAAGATCAGAATACTCGTTAGTGTGCGACCCCATAGGTTCAATACTAAACCGGTAGTAAGTTGATCACATCAATATACTAATCAAGGGTGGCGTCTAGCAATACTCCTTAACGACCGGATAGAATGAAGTATACAATTTACTCTCAAGAACCAGTAGAAGAATAATGTAGTAATTCCTTCTGTCCTTATACCTCTGGGTCACCCTAGGATATGGTTCAACTGTCAAATCCTAATAGGCGACCAACTATGTGTTCATGTAAAATATAATCGACCATTGAATGACCTAAGAAACTCTTTTCTTCTTTCATTCAATTGCCCTGACCAAGGTCTTAGTTTGGTCATTTATAATTCATGACAACATGGAGCTTAAACTCATTACCAAAAGTTGACAGATTTCATTTTGATCAATCATTAATTTTACAAGCATTTAATCGTACCCAATATCCTTTCAACTATCGCCCCAGGGCCATAGGTGTCTAGTATCAAAGCACAATAAATAACTTGTCAATTACTATGATGATCTCAGGTCAAAGGAAACTCTTACATCATATTCTTCAAGAGAATATCCTATTGACAGTTTATGGTAATTCTAACCATTAGGAATTATACAATGAGTCGGTTCAATGATCATATCTCAATATGCATCATCTACCTATGTGATTTAGTTAATGAGATCAACTAATCTTTATCCCATAAAGACGATCACATAAATATTGATCTAACCGGATTACCAATGTCCAAATTAATAATCCTACGATTAACAATAAATTTAGATTAAATTATAAAAAACTTCACTCTCATTATCATGATCTCCATCACGATGACAAGTCTCAAAATTAAATCAAGGACCTTATCAAATTAATCAAGCAATTTATAATAACTATGATAAAAGAATATCAAATGTAATATATTTTTATATCAAATAATGTTCACAAAAATATGTTCAAATCATCACATATGAGATTGGATCTAGGGCATATCTACTATATACCTAACAATCTCCCATTTGCACTAAAGCCAATCGCTCTTGTACTTCATTCCCAATTTTCACTCGTTCTTGTCAAGCTCTTTTATGCCAAGAACTTTAGTGATTGGATCTGTAGCATTTTCCTTTCCATCAATCTTTTGAATCTAGACGTCTCCACGTTCAATGATCTCTCTTATCAAGTGATACCTTCGCAGAACGTGTTTGGATTTTTGGTGTGATCTTGGTTCTTTTACTTGAGCAATGGCTCCAGTATTGTCACACAACAATGGAACTGCACCTTCTATTGAAGGAACCACACCAAGTTCAGTTAAGAACTTTTTCATCCATACAACTTCCTTAGCAGCTTCACTAGCTACTATATATTTTGCTTCAGTCACTGAATCAACTACTATAGCTTGTTTGGAACTTTTCCAAATTACCGCACCACTATTTAAGGTGAATACATAACTAGAAATAGATTTGCTATCATATCTATCTGAAGAGAAACTTGCATCGGTATAACCTTCAAGTTTCAACTCAGAATCTCCATAAATGAGGAAATTGTCTTTAGTCCTTCTTAAGTACTTAAGAATGGTCTTCACCACCTTCCAATGTTCCTCACCAGGATTTTCCTGATATTGGCTAGTCACTCCTAGTGCATAAGCCACATCAGGATGTGTACATGTCATGGTATACATGATAGCTCCCACTGCACTAACGTATGTGATCCTACTCATGCGGTCTCTCTCTTCAGGTGTTTTAGGACAATCCTCCCTACTGAGAGTAATTCCAGTGCCTATCGGTAGATAGCCTATTTTGAAATTATCTATGTTATACCTCTTTAAGATGGTATCAATGTACAAAGACTGGGAAAGTTCGAGCAGCTTCCTCGATCTATCTCTCTAGATCTTTATTCCTAATATATAAGTTGCTTCTCCCAAGTCTTTAATGGAGAACTGTTCAAATAGCCAAATCTTGGTACTTTGCAATGCCGGTATGTCATTCCCTATGAGAAATATATCATCAACATATAATAATAAGAATATAATTGTGCTCCCACTAACCGTTTTGTACACACAAGGTTCTTCTTCTCATCTAACAAAATTGAACTTTTCAATTGTCTTGTTAAAGCGAATATTCCAACTTCGAAAAGCTTGCTTTAGCCCATAAATGGATCTTTGTAGCTTGTAAATTTTATTATGATCAGACGAAGATATGAAACCTTCAGGTTGTGTCATGTATACAACTCTTCTAGATCACCATTAAGGAAAGTTGTTTTTACATCCATTTTCCATATTTCATAATCATAGTATGCTGCTATAGCAAGCAAAATTCGAATTGATTTGAGCATTGCCACGGGATAGAAAGTCTAGTCATAGTCGACTCCTTATTTCTGACGATATCCCTTGGCAACAAGACGGGCTTTGTAGGTCTCCACCTTTCCGTCTGCTCCAATCTTTTTCTTAAAAACCTATTTACAACCTATAGGTTTTATATCCTTTGAAGGTTCAACTAAAGTCCATACTTTATTTTCCTTCATGGATTCCATTTCGGATTCCATGGTCTTTTGCCATTTCTCATAATCAGAACTTTGTATAGCCTCTTCATAGGTCTTAGGGCTATCATCATTATGATCAACCTCATTTGATACATCATCTTGTACCATTATATTTAATCTAGTTGGTACGTGACATTCTTATGTAGACCTTCTAAGAGGCTCTTGTACAACTTGCTCACCTTGTGTTGGATTTGGTTGTTGTTTAATTTGTATTGGAACTGGTTCATTAACCGGTTCTTGAACTATATTTAGTTCTTAAACTTCAACCATTGAAGATGGCAACTACTTTGTTAAAACATCCCATAAAGGTTCTTCAACTTGTGTATCATGATCTTGATTTTGTGTTGATTCATTAGTTTCTTGAACTTCATCAAGTTTTATTTCTCCACTATAATTTCATTCCAAAAGAAATTCCCTTTCCAAAAAGGTTGCTCCTCTAGCCACAAACACTTTATGGTTATAAGGGTGATAGAAATAATATCTCATTATTTCTTTGGGATACTCAATGAACCTACACTTATCACATCTTGAGTCAAGTTTATCCGACTGCAGTCTCTTAACATAAGCTGGACAACCCCAAACTTTGATATGTTGAAGGTTAGGCTTACGTCCTTTCCATATCTCATATGATGTTGTAGAGACTGACTTAGTAGGAAATTTATTAAGTAAGTATGTTGCTACTTCCAAAGCATATCCCCATCAATTTATTGGAAGATCAGTGAACCCCATCATAGATCTCACCATATCTAATAAGGTTCGATTTCTCCTTTCAGACACACCATTGTGTTGTGATGTTCTTGGAGGTGTCCACTGGGAGAGAATCCCATTTTCTTTGAGATACCTAGTAAATCTTCACTAAGATATTCTTCACCTCTATCAGACCTTAGTATTTTGATACTTTTACCAGTCTGTTTCTCAACTTCACTACGGAACCTTTTGAGCATTTCAAAAGATTCGGATTTGTGTTTCATAAGATACACAAATTCATATCTTGACATATCATCAGTGAAGTTGATG